TTTTGGCGGAACCAGGGATTGAACTCAGACCCTTGCACTTGCTAGGGAAGGGCTTATTCCACTGAGCCATCTCCCCGGCCCCTAAGAAAATATATAAAAATTCTTTAGTTAATACTGCATCAACATGAGTTCATTAACCATAACACATATACCACACAAATATAAGATGCTAATAATAGGAGACACATGCTAGCTGAAGGAAGAAAATCACAAAGAACCACACATAATTCCACTTATATGACATGTCCAGAATAGGTTAATATAGAAAAATAGAAGGTAGATTAATGGCTATGTAAGGCTGAGGAGGACGAAGGGATTTGAAAGTGGTGACTAACAATACAGGATCTCTTCACGGGGTAATGAAAATGTTCAGAATTGCTTGTGGTGATAGACATACAACTCTGAGTATTCCTTTCCTTTCCTTTCTTTCTTTCGTACCAAGGATTAAACTCAGGACCTTGTGCTTCCCAGGCGGGCACTTACACCACTGAGCTATCTCCCCAGCCCACAACTCTGAATATTCTAAAAGCCATTGAAATGGCTTTAAATGGGTAAATTGAGTGTTATATATAAACTGTTTTTCCAAAAGGCTTTTTTTTTTTTTTTTTGCAGAACTGGGGACTGAACTCAGGCCCTGTGCTTGCCAGGGAAGCGCTTATTCTACTGAGCCATCTCCTCGGCCCCCCAAAAGGCTATTTAGGAACTGTGGGTATATATTAGTGGTAGAATACTTGCCTGACATGCACAATGCAGTAGATTAATCCCCAGTATAAGGGGAAAAAAGCTAATAAAGAAAGCAGCACTGCCAGGCATAGTGGCACATGCCTATACTCCCAGTACTTGGGAGGCTGAGACAGGAGGATTACTTCCAGCTCAAGACTAGCCTGGGCTACAAATAGAGTTCAAGGCCAGCCTGAACTGCATAATGAGATCCTGTCTCAAAAACACACACAAAAAAAGAAAAGAAAACAAACAAAAAAAAAAAAGAAAGAAAGATGAAAGATATAAACAGTGAGTTCATTTTCCTCACCTAAAATACAAACAAGAAGCAAAAAAAAAAAATCTCACAGAAGGGCCAGCCAAATAACTCAGCAGATTAAAGCACCTACAAGCAGGCACAAAGGCCGGGGGGTTGATCCCCAGGCCTATTGTCTGGGCCCTGGCCCCGGCCCCACCGCTAGTGCAGCTGAGACTGTAATTGAGACTGGCACAGTGGCACGGGCCTGTAATCCCAGCTCTTGGGAGGCTATAAACAGGCAGATCACTGAGTCCAATCTAGTAGTGAGACCCTGCACACCCTGTAGACCCTTCCCTAAAATACAAAAAAAGGAAAAAGAAATCTCATAGGGAGTTGAAAACCACAGAACCTTTGTCATTAAAATTTGTAAAATTCTGGGATATTTATCAAAGTTATAATTTTCAGCATTTTAATCCCTCCAATCTAGTCTTATAGTGACAAAAATCTTGCAAAGTCATTATTAGCATTTTTTTTTTTTTTCCTGGTACCAGGGACTAAACTCAGGACCACGTGCTTGCTAGGTGAGTGCTAACGGGGATATCTCCCCAGCCCCAAAGCTTGTAAAATCAAAAGTGCAGTGTGAAGTGTAACTACTGTAAATACCAAATATATCATCAAAAACATAATGATTTAAAATTGAATTTGTGGGACCCACCAGATAGCTCAGTAGATTAAAGTGCCTGCTTAGGCAGGTGTAGGGACCAAGGTTCCGATCCCCCTGTGCTGGCCCCACCCCCAGGACGCACTGAAACATCGATTGAGACTGGGCATGGTGGAGCGCCCCTGTAATCCTAGCTCTCGAGAGGCTGAAAACAGGAGGATCACTGTGTCTGATCTGTGTAGTGAGACCCTGTAGACCCTTTACTAAATAAATAAAATAAAATAATGATAAAATTGAATTTGTAATCAAGGCTAAGATGGGTACAAAAAAAAAATTCCTCTTCCATACTTAGCTTTAGCTAGGTCCCCACATTGGATTCTGCTCAACTTCAGGAGAAAAAATCCAGAGAGACCTACCACTGTTCAAACAGAAAGTCCTGCACCCAGACAAAGAGAGCAAAATAACTCTGTTTATCAGGCTGGTTCCCGGGCTTACAGGAAACCCACAGCTGCCGTCCTTCCCGCCAGGTATTTCCCACCAGATACACCAAACCTACCAACAGCCTCTGACAAACTTAAAAATTTCCATCTCCCTCAGCAGGACCCCCTCCACTGCCCAAACTCCCTACAAAAGCATACCTTCTTCCTTTGTTCAGTGCCAATAGTCTTTTTGCCCTTGGCTTGACTATACCCAGTTTGAAATAAAGATAATATTTGCTTCAGTCCTACCTGTCCTAATGGTCTAAGCTGTGCCTCAGGGTTTAGCCTGACTTTTGGTACCCTGTGTGAGAAGGGTTAAAGGCCTGACCTCCTCTCCCCCAGACCCCACCTAGGCACACTGAGGCTACTACTGATATGGGACCTGTTACCATCCTGCTTCGATTTGCTGCTGATTTCGATCCTCCTTTCCAGGTCAGGTAAGTAAGTGTCTCTCCAATCCTGATTATTCTGTCACTTTTTCAGTAGCCAATTCCTTTCTACCCCTTGGTTGATCTTTAAGGCCCACATCAAGTTATGCACCACAAAACCCCAGGCCTGATCACACTCACCCGTTCTGGAAGTCTGACTCCCTGATAGCTTTAATTTCAGGGACACCTGATTTGGTTGCTCTTTCCCCTCTTCCGACCTCAAGAAACTGAAATAAAGACATCCTCTCTCTCTCTTGAGTAGCTCACTCCAGTTGTGGTCTGAAGTCAGCATGGGTAATCTGTCCCCTTCAATTCCTGCCTCTTCTCTTCTGGCTTGCACTCCTAAGCACCTTAAGTCTCTGCATCTCACTCCTGACCTAAAACCAAAACACTTTATCTTCTTCTGTAACACAGCCTGGTCAGCCTATAAATCAGACAGTCAATCTAAATGGCCATATAATGGGACATTTAACTTTAATTCTCCAGGACCTTGACAATTTTTGTCATAGGCTCAGGAAATGGTCTGAGGTTCTATGTGTCCATGTATTTTTTTGTTCTCTGCCAGCTCCCCTCCCTCTGCACCTCTGAGATCCTCTGAAATTCTTTTTCTCTCCACACACCTGCTTCCACCCCTGTCCTGCCCACTCTCTGGTGGTCCTGGCATTTCTCAGTGTAAGTTGCAGGCCCACTGCCTCCCCACAGGAAGGGCATTTGCACTTTGAGTGGGGCCCGGGTCCTGTCCACCATGGGGCCCATTACCTACCATGCCTGACCTGGCTGGTGCCACCACTGACAGTAGGGTGCTTAGATGCCAAGTGGCAACTCTATGGACCTGCTCAAACCTCTCCTGGCCACTGCTCCATCTCTTCTGACTCCTATTCTCATTCCCATTTCTCTGCCACAAGCCCCTCTCTCACCCTCCCATTTCCAAACCCCGACTTCTCATAATATGCCCTCCCACACTCATTCTAGGTTCTGCTTTGCCCCCTGCCATCTGCTACTGCTCAGCTTCCATTCTGCAAGGTTGCCAGTGCCAAGGGCATTGTCCAAATGCATGTTTCCTTTCCTCTCACTGACATGTCCCAATTTGGTCAATGTCTTGGCACCTTCCTATCAGATCCCTGTACCTATAGCCAGGAATTCCAATACCTGGGCCAGACGTATGACCTCACCTAGGACAACATCAATGTCATCCTTATTTCTATTCTCTCCCCCAAGGAAGAATATGTTTTCGGTTTCACCCAGGCATCTGCCACTGAACTGAGCCACATTTAAGAAACAGCAACATGGTTGTCCCTCAAGTCTAACCTCAATGAAATTTCAACTTGAGGAGGAAGACACCTGTCCCTCAAAAAGGCACAAGATTATATGCCTGAGAGTGGGACTTAAAAAGCAGCACATACATGTGTTAATTATGACAAACTTAAGGAAATTACCCAAAACAAAGATAAAATGTAGCCCAATTTATGTCCCAGCTGGCAGCCACTCTAAACCAGGAAAGCTCAGAGGCACAATTAATCTTCAAATGCATTAACTCCTGACATTCACAAAAAATTCCAAAAAATCGAGATAGGCCCTCAGACCCCACAACAGGAAGTAATCTCCCAGGCCTTCAAGGTCTTCAATAACCAACACGAGGCTGCCCACCAGAGATACATTTTGGGTCTGCAGTTACTTGCCTCTACAATACAAAACTCAAAACAAAACGAAGGGGACAAGACACCCCCCACTTCCCCTCACTCCCCACCCCCCCCCACCCTGCTTTGAGTGTCAACAGTTAGACCACTGGGCCAAAGAGTATCCCAACCCCAAACCCTCTCCCAAGCCATGGCAACCAGGTTTATTGTATTTGCCTTCTACTACTGAAACAATCTTCTTTAATTTTTTTTTTTTTTGTATTTTTTGCTTGTTTTCAGTCATAAATTCTACTAAAGAATTCAGCTGAGGGACTGGGGATATAGCTCAGTGGCACAAGTGCCTGCCTGGTAAACACAAGGTCCTAAGTTTGATTTCCAGTACCAAAAAAAAAAAAAAAAAAAAGATTCGGCTGAGATAAGGGAAAATCCTGAAAAAATAGCACTTATACAAAATTCTATTTGTTTATCTTTCATTTAATTCATTATGGGTTGAGTTATGTCCTCAAAAAAGATACAGATACCAGGGGGCCAGGGAGATGGCTCAGTAGAATAAGCGCTTACCTGGCAAGCGCAAGGGCCTGAGTTCAACCCCAGTTCTGCCAAAAAAAAAAAAAAAAAAGATACAGATACCCTTCATGTGTCAATAGAGAATATGCAGATGTAATCAAAGTGATCCACTGACTGATGCCCTTATAAGAAAAGTGAAAATTTGGACACAGACACAGAGACAAGGGAATGCACTATGAAAACACAGAGAGGCCCAGATAGCTCAGAGGACTAAAGGGCCTGCTTAGACACAGCCAGGATTCAATCCCCAGTGTGCTGCGCTGGTCCCACCCCTGGGGGATGCTGGGATGGCTAATGAGACTGGGCATGGTGGCACATGCCTGTAATCCCAGCACTTGGGAGGGGAGGCTGGTAACAGGAGGATCACTCTGAGTCCTATCTACGTAGTGACATCCTGTAGACCCTGTAGACCATGTACTAAATACAAAAAACAAACAGAGAGGTAGGTGACAATTCAGGCTAAGATTAGATACATCTACCAGCACCAAACAGTAAGGACTACCAGCAACCACTACAGCTAGGATAGAGGCACAGAATGTTTTCTCCTTCAAAGCTCCAGATGAAACTGACCCTGCCAACATCTTAATTTCAGACTCCTAACATCCAGAACTATGACAAAAGAAATTTTGGTTGTTCTTAAGTCACTTAATATGTGGTATTCCACAGCAGCCCTAAGAAACTAATGCATTCATTAAATTCAGTATTTTGGCTTTCTTTGCTACTCTCCAGATGGATACTGGTTGTTAGTAACCAAATCAAATAGCTTGCGCTAGAGATGTAGCTCAGTGATAGGAATGCTTACCTACTGTACACAAGGCCCTGGGTTCAGTCCCTAGCACCTAAAACTATATTAAAAAAAAAAGAAAATATGTATATGTTAAGAAATAATAGCTCTATTTTAGAATACTTTTTAGCTCTATATTTTAGAATATTTTAGAATTTTAGAATAGCTCTATTTTTTTTCAACTTTTTTTTTTTTTTTTTTTTGGTACCAGGGATGGAAGTCAGGACTTCGCACTTGCCAGGCAAGTACTATGCTGCTGAGCTACCTCCCCAGTCCTAGAGTTCATTTTCTTTTGAGCCTGTAATACTATGCAAAAGTTTCTATGCTAAATCTCTTTTCTCTTTGTTCTACAAACTTTCACTTTTTTTTTTTTCTTTGTTCCACGAACTTTTCCACTTTTTCCCTTTCAGGAAGCTCTTTCTGACTCTCATTTCCCAGGACTTTCTCTTTTACATTTCCCAAAGTTTTGTCCTGTTTTTTTCAATACTTTCTCTACATGATCTACCAGAGCAAACTTCTCCATTGTTATGACTTAATTACTATCAATCCGTTCATGAATTCAAACTCCACATCTCCTGCTCCCTATTGCACTCAAGCATGAGATTGGGACTGTCTCATAAAGTTGCTTACTAGACATTTCCATTGAAACATCTAACACTCAAATTCTACCTTATAATGAGACTTCTTTTCAATAGCACAACATGCATAAAAGTAAACACTGTCTTTTACCTTTACTGTCAATAACGAAACTATTCTTTCCTGACACCCCAGATCGACCTAATGTGTTCTTTTCTACACAACAGACTCATTTCTAGAGATAAATTATAAAAACAGGACCAAAATAGGTGTGGTGTGCAACTGTTATCCTAACATTCCAGAAGGCTAAAGCAGTAAGACTGAAGGCTATGTTACTTAGCAAAACTCAGTCTCAAAATAAAAAATAAAAAAAGAGCTGAATTTCTAGCTCTCTCTGAAAGTCATAGGATAAAAACTTAACATAAAAAAAAAGCAAGGGGCCAGGGAGATGGCTCAGTGGAAGAAGTGCTTCTCTGGCAAGCACAAAGGCCTGAGTTCAATCCCTGGTTCTGTCAAAAAATAAAAAATAAAAAAAAAGCAAATAGTCTAGTCACCTCTAAAAAAAAACCACATAAATAAAAATAATATCCAAAAATCTGGTTCATAACAGAAGACATCACTTCTCTTCATTTGTTACACAAATGACAGATTCCCTGGTAGCTGCTCCCTTCTCACAGACTATAGTCAGACAGTGCCACTCTCTGACGGACACTGAAAAAAGCAAAAGGAGGAGATCGAGTCTTCTAGTGAAATTTCAGAACTCTAACTGTCCTTTTTCCTTAATGAAATTTAAGTCATTTCATTCTTCAGGACAATACTCTCTTGGGACTTCCCCTGGACAATCTATAAAATGTATCAGCGATATTCCCTACCTCTCCACATTGCAAACAAGACCATTCTTACCTCACCATCAGCTCCCAAGGCATTGATTTGCTCCAATTTGTAAGCCCAATATCTGGCTTCTTCCTCTGGGATATCTATCATAAAAAAAGAAATATCTGTCATATTTTTTTT